TCTCTTAAAAAAAAACTGTTCAATAAATGTCAATGTTTCCTCTTTTTCCAGAATCGTTTTATTTTAAGTGAAATATCATGCTTGTCCGTGATTGTGAAATCACTGAAAGTAGGGACTACTATATATTCACTTTGACTGAGGATTTTTTTTCAAGTGTCTCAATTAGAAATTCTTTTTTATATCATTTATGCAATATATTCATGTAGAAAAAATACTTTTATCTCTTCGTGAATTTATTGATGAAGCTTTACACAAAAAATAACACCTTGGGGATTATACGGAGATATCCCGTCCATGATTAATTTTCTATGAAATATTATAAATTAGTTTAAGTAGCATTTTTTTTTCTTTCACAAATACGATGTCATCATTAAAAAGAAAAGATACCAATATCAGTGATAAAATGACCATTTTATCACTGATATTGGTATTCCACATCTGCAGCACCGTTAAAAAAATAGTTTATGAAATGTTGTAACCTAGAAAAGGTTACTGAATGAGGAATAACCAAAACGGAGGTTGAAAATGAAATGGTAATCTTTATAACATCAACAAAATACAATACTCGCCAGCGGGTGGAAATAGGTAAACCACTGCTAGTGGAGGACAACTTAGCATATTATCCCCACTTATAATAGTGTCCAATGTATTCATGAGGATTGGGACATACCCATTAGTGTTCATAGGTACGGTATATAACGTGAATGGTAATAGATTCTGATAAATGAAAGACGAATGGCCAATCCTAAAACTTCCACACGTTCACAAAATTAATATGTAGTTATTTACCGTAAAAACGCAAAAAGAAAAAAGAATAGCTCTATCAAACCTATACTTGGATGAATATTACCGATAATCGCTCAAAAATACGGTTGGAATACGAGAATTTACGCTCAGCATCTTATTTTTTACACTTAACAAAGTCTTCGAACAAGAATACTCAAATCCCTACAAAATAAATTCTGATGAGATTAATCGGTATAAACTCTTAGTTGATTATGGTGTAAATGTTATTAGCTAAAGTTCATCAAATCATCATAAACATTGATAAAAATTAAAATAACAAATGTACATCCCGAAATTCGAATAAACAGAAATACCTCTGTGTGAATTTCAAGACGTGGAAGATGTTACGATTATATATTGATTGTCACAGGCCAATTTCCCCGTCTTTGTTTTCTTTATCTGAAAGAAGGGATGTGAGATAAAAAAGAACATATCTCCGTATATCAAATTAAAGATTTTGTTCGATATTATCGAAATGCTACCGGATGAGACAACCACCTGACGAAGGTGAGATGATTCTTTCTTTCTATGTGTCGTATCCTTTCAGGACGTAGGCGATCATGGCTCTCCACCTCTCTTTATCCTTTGCAGCTCTCAAGAAGTTCATAACCTTTGCCACCTCCCCTACGTTCTGTCATCCACTTGCTTAAGGCCTCTAGGCATGCCATGCGTTGTTTTCCCTTGTCTCTCTTTCCCTCTATTCCGACCCGTGAGTATCAGATTCTCCAGGCCCTTCATCTGCCTCTTCCTGACGAAGGTAGGATGATACAGCGGCCAAAATGTTTGTGATAAAAATGAGAAAACTGGTCCGGATGAATCAATGTCTAGTAGGAGGAAGAAAACCTTTATGCACTCTGATCACTCGTGTTATTTTGTTTGTGTCAAAGAGTAGCCAATCAAAAGCCACAAAAGAACAAAACACAATGGACAGGGGAGTGGTAATTGTACGAAGAGACAGGAAATGGATAAAGCTAAGGAAAGTGAGCTGAAAAGGAGAGAAATGAAAGATTGGTTTTACAAAATTTACATAATCGATGTATTCAAACTATTCAATTAATCCTCGTTTGTTATAGCTACCAAAGTCATGCGATAGGCTATAAATTTACTCAGTCAGTCAGTTATGTGCCATGCGTGATGCACGCTTAGGCGATCATGTATCTTTCGATACATGACTGACGAGGCAGGTTTTTTAAACTTTTCACCCCAAGCAAAGCGGGAGTGCCACTAGCACGCAAGGGGGTTTACAGAGAGTGGGAGCAAGAGTAAAGAGGCGTGATAGGGGAAAGGATGAAGAGTAGGGCGGGGAATAGATCAAGGCATCTGGAGATGACAATTGACATTGCATTTGAATATTTGGAGATTATTGGAGTAGAAGAGACGGCTACATTCAACCGTTTCGACAGTGAAATTCATGCAGTTTGGGAACTAGCGAAAGTAGCTCGTTGGGCGAGTTACCGTGAAAGTATTTGTAGAAAAGACATAGGGAAGCGACGGCACGTCTGTGAGAGTAGGTTGCCCATTTCTCTCTGCGGTAGACCAGTTGCCACCCAAGACTGTAGAACCCGGTCTGTCCTGCTATTTACCCAGAGCTGGGGAGAGAAGAAGAGGATTTATACCTTTCCCAAGGGTATTAGCACGTATAAATTTACTACCGACTTAAAATCAAAATCTGCAAATTATGATTAAACAAAATAAAAATAAGATAAACCAGTAAACGTGAAACAGCGAAAAACAGTTGTCACGTACAAAACAAAAGATGATACGTACAAAACCAAAGATCTCACGTACGAACGATACAATATATGGATTTAATTTGATGACTGTCCTTCAAAATAGATTTAATAAACGATTTTCTCATTAAAAGAATTTTCAGAACTTTTTAATGATAATTTACAAATGAAAATCTGCTAAACTCTCTTTAATGCATGAAAGTGCTGCTAAGCATTTTAATTTAAAAAAACAAACTACACTGCTCTATCAAAAACTCATGAATATACGTAAGCTGATATATAAACTGGCTTTTCTGGATAAAGAAGGTATGTGTATTTTTGCAAATTCCCTTATCCCGAAAATTATGTTTACTTTTTTACGCTTAATCTCAAAAAAATTTAAGCTTGAGCTGACAGATTGCGTTGTGCAGGAAACTCCGAGTCGTACTACCGGTAAGGAAAAATGTATATTTATGTATATTTATTAATACATATATATGATAGAAATTATTAGGAGGGATTTGATAATTATATTTTTAAGTAATTCATCGAGTCTGAAAGAAACCTCAACAGAATGCAGAAATACTCACAGACAACTTAACCCCCTGAAGTTGATCTCAGATGTGTGCTGTTTCTTATTTTATTTTCCACACACACATACACACAATAAAAATTAATTCACACCACGTGTATCAAAAAATACAATTGCGCGGGAATTCATTCCTTACCATGCCCTGTGGGGTCAAAAACAAGGACGGCGCACCCAAAAGTTCGGACGTAGTGAAAAACACACCACGTGGTCAAAAATAGGATTTATTGACCAATCAGGACTCGACATAAGAAACCCATTTCTTAATCTCCCAAAGCCTCATCATTCTTATATAAGGAAGGTAGAAACTCTCATCAGAAGGGAGAGAGAACAGCGACAAGCTGACATCAAAGCGACACGGACAGTTTCGAGCACACACACACCGAGAGGATTCAGCGGTTCACACAACCGGCAATATCACGTATCAGTAAACATTCTTTCACCCTCTCTTTCTCTCATCTCGCTCGCTACACATAGTCCTACCTTTCCCTCTCACATTCCCAGTTCCTTTCTTTTTCTTCCGCAGCTTTACGGACAATTTCATTTTTGTACAAGGAAAAAAATAATTCTTTACAAAAATAAACAAAAGTTTATTTTACTTTATTTGTAGTGTATTTTCTTTTTATTATTTGTTTGAGGGACTTCTTTGCACCCTCTACAGATGAGATTGAAAGTACTTGGGAAAATAAAAACTATTCGAAAGAAAATTTTGGTATTTTTCTTACTCAATTTTCTAAATCTACCAAAAAATGAATCCGTGAACTTGAAAAGATCACAACGAAAACTAATCGACGATGATATGTTTAAATTATTTAACCAAATTTGTTTGAATGAAACTATGCTGCTTAAATATACACAAGATAAATAAACAGTGGAGAAATTGACGGTTCAGGCGGGAGAAGGATTAATGTATTTACCTGGGTTGTTGGTTCTTGTTGACTATTTCTTGATTATTATAGATGTTGTTATTGAGACAACGTTTCGATCAAATACCCACTGGCCATCATCAGGTCTCCATTGTTTTGGCTGATCTGTTGATTATTCTGACATTTCGTCCAAAATGCTGAACGACGCACAATAATCATCAGATACCCCATATCAATCAAATAATGGATACCTGAAGATGACCATAAGGTACTTGGCTGAAACGTTCGGTCTATAATAACCCAACATGAGAACAATAGTTTAAATAGGTTAAAGTATATTGACGATTCCTCATCATATAAATGAAATACAAGCATTTACTATGAAAATATATGATTTTGCATCAAAAACACATTGACTATGTGAAAAGAAAAGGTGATTGTCAGTGGTCAGGAACTCAGGTAAGCTTTAATGACAGAATAAAGCTATTAAATATATAATGTTAATGTGTTGCTAATTATTTTACTACAGAAAAGCAAGTTAAATAATTTGACTGCAGAAAAGCACCATAAATTATTTTGATATAGAACTGCATTGAATATAAAAAAATATTAATAATTAATTTTTATTGGTCATTTTCATTATGGATTTTCATAATGAAAATTAATGATTAAAGTAGAAATAAGCCACTGAACGCAGGGAAGGAAAATGAGAGATACTTTAAAAGTAACGTATAAAATGGTAAGATGAGTAAGAATTATTGACCGATTCGTTTTTACGGCTTATCAAACCTTTCCAGGTTATTTAAAGCCAGAAAATAGTCTTAGATTGTAAGTTTTTTTGTTGTTTTTTTTGTTGTTTTGTTTTTTGTAGATGATAATGGTTTTAATGATACAAGTTTTACTAATTAATCCACAGCTAGGGGATAGAAGATGGATTCATACCTTTCAAAAGGGTTACTGGCGCGTAAGTGAATATAACTGGAATTGGAACTCGACTTTCTAATTAACAATTCCGAGCCAATATCCATTACACCACCCGCACATCCAAGTTTACACCACCCGGTATTCCCAAACGGTCACCTATCAAGGTACTGACCAGGTTCAATGTTGCTTAACTTCGGTGATCGAACGGGAGTAAAAATTATAAAGCCAGTAAAAGGAGAGAAAAGAGAGAAATATAAAAATGAAGCACTTACGAATAAAGATGGGTGCTGTACGTTGAAGACAGAGAAAACTGTGTCCATAAAGAATTATGTCGGAACTGATCGAATTAAATCTTTAGTGACTGATTGATTTGTTTTTACGGCAAATCGACCCTTTATGAGAAATAAATTTTATTTTTTATTTTTTTTTTTTTTGCGTGTAAATTCTGCATTAACAATATTTTTTAGAATAACAATGATTTTTCCAAATACAGTTTCTACTATTTAACCCTTAGCTAGGGGAAGAGATAGTTTCATACCTTTCCCAATGGTATTTGCACGCAAGTGAATGTAACGAACCTGACTGGAATTTGAACTCGGTTCTCTGATTTCTCATTCCGAGCCGCTATCCACGACACCGAAGAAACAAAAAAGACGCTTATACTTAACATCAAAAAGAGACAACTGGAATCTCTAGGGCACATAATGAGGAAGGAGGACTTGGAAAAGTTGACACTCACAAGACATATTGAAGGCAAGAGGGACAGAGGAAAACAGCGCATAACCTACCTAACGAGCGTGTGTAAATGGTTGGCAGAGTTTAGAAGATATAGAAAAAACAAAATTTAGTAAGCGCTGCAGAGGACAGGAAGTTGTGGAGAGCTGTTCTCGCCAACGTCCTGAGGGAACACGGCACAAAGAAGAAGAAGAAGACCCATTAAACCACCCGACAAATTCATCAAAAGATTCGAGGTAGGGTTGTGGCCATTCAAACCATAACAGTGTTGGGATTGGTAAAAAGTTGAACCAGTTGCTGACGATATGAGCAGGTTTGTATTGTTACTTGTTCCTTAGCGATAACCAACAAACACTATTGGTATGAATACATGAATTAATAAATAATAAGTAATTGTTCCAACGTGGCTGAAAAGGAATAAAAGAACATACAGGCGAGAAGGTCGTGACAGTCATACACTGGGAAGGAAACAATACAAACAACTAAGATTCGATCATGTAATCAAATGGGATCAACACAAACCAGAGATTGTTCGGAAAAATAAAAAATAATAAGATATTCTGGAAATTTGAGATCTAGGCTCACTATCCCACACAAACGAAAATACTATATTTCCTACTCGTAAAAAAAAGAAGAAACAAAGAAATATACCAGATAGATAGATTTACACTATTTACATTGTTTGGACGGCTGTCTTCATCTTTATTGCAATATTCACGATGTTTCGGCCGTTGTACGCTCCGGACTTCTTCAGGTGATTAGAATTTCGAACCGAACCCTTTATTTCGTCCACCGGGTTAGATTTTTTTCTAGTTCCACGTGCCATGCCTCGATGTCAGTTATTTCCCTTTAACTCAACTCTCCAAGTTATTGTTCACATGTGCTGTAGCCAGGTGTTGAACTCACAACACTTTGCGTCAAGTCACTGGATTACTTCAACCAACGCTTTTATCCACTGGGCCAGGTGTTCTTGAGGACGAAGAAAGCCGAGGCGTACAACTGCCGAAACATCGTGAATGAGAACAACAGTCCGAACAATGTAAATTGTGCAAATGATTACAATACCTCATCTCAGAAATATAAACAGATCCTGAAGAAGGGTGGAGCGTACAACGGCCGAAACGTCGTGAATATGGCAACAAAGATGAGGACCAGTCTGAACAATGTAAATAGTGTAAATAATTAAAATATAGACAGATATCAAATAGATGCTACTGTGACAGTGGACCACGGTGGAAGACGTAAGAAAACAAAAAATGTATTAAAATAAAGTGAGGTTCTGCAAGGCACTGAAATAGGGGTTATGTTTGTACCTGTAATAGTTCGAACACTTGGAATTATGCCAAAAGCTTAGATTAGATGAATTAGAAACTCGATGAAAAGTTAGGAGTGTCCAAATTGCGACAGTGCTTGTATCTTCAAGGATACTGTGGCATGGTGCTTGACATTAGAGGAGATTTGAAATTGCAAATGAAATAATAATAATAATTGATTGTCAGTTGTCAAACCATAACCAGTTGTACTAACGAACTGTGCATCTCTGTCCATGATGGGGACTCGGGAAGGAACATCATGGCCGGGTGTCGAGAAATTTATTTTTAAGTTTGAAGGATAATACAGCCAAAGTGACTTAGGAGACACATTAAGATACATGTGAACACCCTCAATCGGAGCGGAGCACTTGCCCGACCTACGCTTTAGGTGCAAGGTTATGCGGTGTTTTTATCAAAACCTGTCACCATATCGCATACATTTGACTATTGTGCATGTGCCTAGTATACTCTTAACGGATGGGTATATTGAGCTTCGTCTATTCACATCTCGGTATCAATTTGTCGGCATGCTGCTCTCTCTCTCTCTCTCTCTCTCTCTCACACACACACACACACTCTTTCTCCCTCTCTCTATCTCATACACGCACGCGCACACGCACACACACGCACACAGACACACACATTGAATAATAATAATAATAATTTGTGAAAGTCCTCTAAGGGTTGCCCACTGTGTATCTATATTCATAAACAGGAGTTAGTGGAGGAACATCATGGCTGAGTACTGAGTGCCTAAGGCGTACTGTTCTCTCAATCACTACTGCTAATAATAATAAATGACTACAATTAACAAAAATACTAGGGAAGTGCTGTCATTTTGTCTTTCAATTTCGCCAAATACTTCTTTTTCTTCTTCTTCTATGTGCCGTGTCCCTTCAGGACATTGGTGATCATGGCTCTCTACAATTTCCTGTCCTTTAATGCTCTTAATATATTTTGTCTTTTTGCCATCTCTCCCAAACCCTGATCCGTCATCCATTCGCTCAAACTCACAAGATAGGTTGTACATTGTTTTCCTCTTGGCCTTTTAACTTCAATATTTCCTGTGAGTATCAAATTTTCCAAGCCCTTTTTCCTTGTTATGTACCCTAGAAATTTCATCAGTATCTGTCTGATCGTAAGTATAAGTGTCTTTATATATGTGTGTGTGTAATCACAAACTAAATATTATATATATATATATATATATATATATATATATATATATATATATATATATATAATGATTGATATATGTACGAGGGTGGAACAATAAGTCCGCAGTCCGCAGGTTGACACAATTCTTAGCTGGATTCTGATATGAAATTTTCATCGTATAATGTTCGATCTATGTGACTGACAAAAGCAGTCTCGTGTTTTTCTTATTCAGCTTTAAAAATTTCAAATGTAACACAACTGGCCGTCCAAAGTTACACAAGCTGTTCGTTGTGGTTCGCTACTCATGCATTAATTACATGATGTTAAGATCTTATCAGAGAAAATATTGAAATAAACAAACGTGTGTATATAATTTCCTCTAATTTCTTATTCACGCTTGAAAGTTTTTTGAAAATCGAATTAACTTTTACACTGAATGCATTCTATGGAAGTTATCAAGCTGTAGCGTTTGTGAATCACATCTAGATATTTAGGAACACTCAGTCGGAGGTTATATGAGTGGAGTGGGTTACCCAACCGGAAGGTATTTCTGACTGGGCTTCACCTGCATGGTTATACGCTGTTTTCAGGAAAACCTCTCGCGATATTGTACACATTTAGCTGTGATACATATGCCTGGTATACCTTATTAGACTGGATGTAATGTACGATACATTAGGTTTCGTATATTTGTACCCCAGCGTCGATTTAACGGCGTACTACTCTCTCACTCATAATAATACTATACTATACTCTCTCACTCATAATAATACATTCTATCATGTTTTAGCGGGTATTTGAACGACTGTTAATTTTGCTGTTTTATCTACATATAAAATTCTGTGACTGCCGTTAAGTCCGTCCGTCACACTCTCTAAAATAGCCATACATTGACCGATTGAAACCAAATTTGGGGGAGAAGTGCAAACAGGTAAGGGGGTACAAAGCACAGTTTCTTTTTAAATTTTCATTATTTTTGGCGGAAAAATTAGATGTTTTATTATTTAACATGCAAAATACTCCCACTATTTTAAAAACAACTTAATAATTAAAATAACAAATACTTATTTAATAAAAATGCAATATTGTTTTTTGCATACCAAAAATCCAGTTTCCAGTTTGCCCTGGATTTGCGAGAACTATAAACAAATCAGAAGGCTCAAATGATTCAAAAAGTTGGAATTTGGCTCCAGAAAGAAATATTTACGCATTGCCAGTTGTATGTTGCATGCTCAAGAGTATGAAATCCTAAGAATTTATTCTTCGCTGTTAAAAAGGAAAAAAGAAATTATCCTTAAAATATTGTTTACCATGAAGTTCTATGAAATTAAATTAAATTAAAACGTGAAATAGGGTTTTTGCCAAAGCATTTTTCCAAACAAATCAGCTTATTCAAATTTTATCGATTGGTTTGCGAAGTTGAACGAAACGTACAGTTTGTAAATCTCATAAAAAAATGTTAGCGTTAACAGTTAACTTAAACAATACTACTGTGAAAATTTCAACATACGTCAGTGTGAAAAAAAATTCTAGTGTGAAAAAAAAAGCTGTAGCTAGAATGCTAAGCAAATAGAACTATTTTTTTAAAAAGCCACAAAAGCGACACCAGAGGAAAAGAATAAGAAAGACATTCATAAAGTCGGACAAATCAAAGATTCGGTTTTCTGACCAAATCACATGACCAACTCCTGTCTTAATAGCTATTCTGCCAACTTACTCATACATGTCGGTAGATTTCCATTGATAGTACCATTCGAACATTTCAGACGTGAATCGCCATAGCCAATGTAGTATCCCAGGTTACAAGAATACTCAATGTAGTAGCCATTCAATTTGTCGTGCCCTGTGTTGCCTACAGCATTTGCGACCATCGGTGGCAGCGGGCACAGTGAATACACTGAAATGAAGGAAAAAATATCATGCATTTTCTCATTTCTGTCTTGCAAAACATCATTCATCGTAAACGGTTCGTGATTAAATAATTAAAACAAAGAGAATTTTTTTTTGTTTTTTTACTATTTCCTAAGAGATAAAACTGTGATGTGATGTTTTTCTCTGAATCCATATAATAATAATCATTTCGATTTCTCATATTCTCTTAAACTCAGTAACCCCTTGCGTCTTGGTTTTATTGCCTTGCTTGAGGTGAAATGGTTTATATATATATATAATGATAATATTAGTAATCCGTATGAATATTTCAAAAGGATATAGATCTATAGGATCAGTAAGAGAGCGCTATCTCAGAGACATAGCAATAATCATTACTATGAAAGCACGAACTTTTAAAAAGATTATATTTATTTCGTTAAGGTCGAAAAATTGATCTCAAGTCTTCAGATCTCTTAGTACAAATAAAAATGGAAAATATTTTTCCAGGCCTAATAAACAAAATTTATGTAAATATGTAACTCTAACTTTGTGTAAGTAGAGGAAAGAAAGATGCATATCTAAGATTGTGGAAGTGGGGTGAGGAAAGACTTAGTATATATTCAGAGAGAGAGAGAGTGGGGCGGGGATAGACAAGATATTTAAAAATTGAACGTGAAATGAATAGATTGTTGTATAAACGGATTTTCTGGGCTGGAGACATGGTGAACGAATTTAGATACACATTGCGAAAAAAGTGGTTACATAAATGTTGACATTTGAAAATACATAAAAAAGGAAAGGAAAAGAAAAGGACAAAGAATGAAAGATAATTCAATGAAAAATGGAAATTTGGTGTAATCGAAATTATATTCTGTCTGGTTTAGTCTTCGGTACAATTATGCCACGTATGTATACATTTTTCTTTTAAAAAAGTGGGGCCTTTAAAATTAATAATATTGTGTAGTTAAGAACTTTCTGAAAAATTATGTAAATCTTTCCTAAAAATTTGAAAATCTAACATTTTTTTTTGAGGATTCGTCTTTGGATTTTGTCAAAGACCTCGAGACATACAGCAGACCATATAAGACAGCAATATTCCATACAAGGACGGATGGTTGATTTATAGATTTGAAGGATGGACTCAATGTACTTATTCCATCTCATGTCAGTGGACAGCGTGAGACCAAGCAGACGCAACGAGACGCTCTATAGAATCTAGTTTAAAACAATTATATATATATATATATATATATATATATATATATATTATGGCAAGGAATAAGCGGAATGTAAAGGACATAATTATGAAAACTAAGAACTAAAACAAACAACCGGTTTCGTCCCAGTACTCCTAAAGTTTGATACACTGGGATTATTTAATCATAAACTTAAAAACAAAAAAACATTCAATGAGGGGGAAAGGGAAAAAAAAATTTTATATATGATAGAAAGAACTAGAGCCCAATCACATTCAAGCCCAACAAGCAATCTCTCTGCTTACAGAAAAACGGCCTGCGGGACTTGATGTAAATGGACTCAAGAACCTTCAAATGATATGCAGAGTGTGACTTCGCCAGTATGGAAAAACAGTCAACACTCAAACCAGCAACACATTCCCTGCTAGTTATAGCGTGTTCCGCTATAGATGACCCGGATGTATTCATTAGTTGGCTTTTGTTAGCGGCCAATTATGATTCATGTAATGTAAATTGAACTGCACCACATACTTGATATATATATATATATATATATATATATATATATATAGAGAGAGAGAGAGAGGGGGGGGAGAGATAGAGAGATATGTTATATTAATATCCCATACTTTTATATACATTTCTACTTATATCTTAATTTCTAAATTAAAATTATAGTTTTAAAAAAATCCAAAAAAAATGAATAACTTATGTATTCAACATACCAAGAAGAAATCTCCACCTTTTAATTTATTAATTTGCAAAACACTTTCATTGATTACAAAACTAGTACTGATAACTCTAACCTAAATAAATGCAATTCAGGACTGGCTTAGTTTTTAAAATAACGAAAAAAACATTCACAATTACTACTATAACTATCGTTTGAATTTATCCCTCCTTCCTCTTTCAGCGTATTAATATCTCCTACTCTCACCTTTCCTCATCTGCCCCTCACTCTTAGAAGGCTTGGAAATGCTGGGCCTAAACCCTTGACTGTTGTAGTCAAAAAGAATTTTTTAAAATATAGCCATTACTTTAACACCAGAACTATCCTTCACCAAACTGCTATCAACAACCGCCATTGTTTCACTCCGTCACCATTTTGCCTTTTAGTATTTATTTTTTATTTTATTTTATTTTATTTTATTTTTCAAACAAATGCAAAAAAAAGTGACGTTTCACATGCGGCTTGCTTACAAACAGAATTGTTCATAACCATTTTGGTTCTCACCAGTCGAAGTACAATTTTAAATGCACTGAAACGAAGTTGCATTTTTGTAGTGAGTAAAGTATTTTTGTCTAAATGAAAAAACTATAATGAATAATTTTGCTCTATCGGTATTCAGCCCTTTTTTGAATTAATGTCGTGAGCGCTAGAATTTATATATTATTTTCGTTCACATTACATTCGGATATATATATATATATATATATATATATATATATATATATATGTCAAAAGTGGCTCTGCCCATTTCCAATGATAATAAGCATAAATTTCTAAATGATTTAAAAACAGATAGATGGTAAAAAAGAACTGAGCATCCATATCATGTGAATACCGACAAAAATAAAAAAAATGTAATTGTTATATTGAAATTATAACTGTACGATGATTAAATAAAAGTTATGTTATTTAGAAATTTGTATTTATCATTACTGAAAATGGGTTAAACGACATTTGGCAATCCCTGTATATATATACGTTATATTTAGTGGACACACATACACGCGTATATATATGTGTGTGGAAGGGTGTGTGGGTGTGGACGTGGGTGTATTATTTATTTTAGGATATTAAAACAAAAACATGTTAAAAATCGCTACACTATTACAATCATGATTCAACATCACAAATGTGTCTCCTCTACTAGCGAAAGAAAAGTTAATTTAATTTCAAAAGCAGAATACTTTTTAAAAAATTGGCGTTTGCCGTGATTAACCAATCGAACGCGACCTACGCTAAATTCAAACCTACCGGAATTTTTTTTAATATAGATCATGACATGAAGTTGTCTGCATATAAATCCTAGACAATTACCTTATGGACAGAGCCCTTTTTTAAATTAAATGTAACGTTCAGTGGAATTATACTACATTTGTCCTCATCTTATATATATATATATATATATATATATATATATATATATAATGATTGATATATGTACACGGGTGAAACAATAAGTCCACAGCTTGACACAATTCTTAGTTGGATTTTGATATGAAATTTCACTGTAATATTCGATCTATATATGACAAAGCAGTCTCGTGTTTTCTTATTCAGCTTTAAATTTCAAATGAAACACAACTGGCCGTTACACAAGCTGTGCGTTGTGGCTCGCCACGCATGTATTAACTACAAGATATTAAGATCTTATCAGAGGAAATACTGAAATAAACAAATAATGCATATAATTTCCTCTAATTTCTTATTCACGGTAGAAAGTTTTATGAAAATCAAATTAACTTTTACGCTGAATGCGTCATTTGAAAGTTATCAGATTGTAGTGTTTGTTTGTATTATAGGTGAAAGTGCGTGTTCAGTATCTAAACAGGGAAGACTTTTGCTATGGACGTTTAATCGTTTTATGGTGACTGTAGTGAAGCAAAGCTATAAATGTCTCTTGGGTTTGTCCATTTTCCTTTTGGGTTCAGAAGTAAGTTAGGATAACAATGGTTAAAAGGATCACCCTCGAGTCAGCTTTACGCTGAGTTAGAACAACCAATTCACTTTTGAGTCGGGCTGCCAAAACGCTATGTCGTAGAAAGTGGAAAAGAGCAAGCTTCTTTCCTTTCCGGAAGCGGGGGTCATAAAATAGCGCATGTGACCAAAAACCTTCCTGGTTTCTTTATAACTTGAAGCATGGGAATTTTTTTATTCCTCATTATTTAATTATTCGTCTACCTTTTCTTCTATAAGTAGCATCTTAAACACACTTCTCTGAAGTAAAAATACATGGTTATTCGAAAATATTTTAAAATAAAAATGGATATTGACTGGTAAAATTACCAGTTTCTTTAGTCATTGAAAGTGTACATCGAATTTTATTGTTAATTGCTTACAAATATTTACCTGGTGACAACAGTAGATCAAAGCCGAATAGGAATAAAAACAAAGACTTCATCGCTATGTAAGAACCTGAAAGAAAATAAACAGTTTCAAGTTGTAAATGTGTCAATGAGATTGTGAGTTTAACAGAGAAATCTATTGAATATATCTAAAACACTTTTAGAAGTTTTCAAAATGTAATGCTTAAAATAAACAACAAGCCTCTTGAAATATTGTTGGGATAACTTTCCTTCTTCTTCCTCGGTTAATATGCATCGCGCTTGGTCAGTCATGTGACTCTTAATGGCCAATCAGCAGAGCTCTGTTTTTACAAAAGGGGAGAGTTTTAGTAGAGAATATCGAGAAACGATGTGCTCCTGTCTGTAAATGCCAAAAAAGGAAAGATATGCTCCTGACTTGTGGTTAGAGACAATGCTCTACAACATCAGCTAATTTTCATTTTCACTCTTGGAGAGAAGGCATATAACACATTTTTATATTTTGTTGGCATATTTTCGAGGTTTTTTGTTGTTTTTTTTCTTTTTTTTTCTTTTTTTTTAAACAAAATTTCTATTTCGTTCTTCCAACTTCTCTCGAGCCATCTTTACTTTTTCTTGCTATGATTGGATTTCGACGGCCAGATTTAGGCAAGTCCACCCGACGTTTATCTGGTGAAACAACAACATCACCAATTTCGCCGAACAGTTTACCTTTTTCGTCCAATGTATCTAAACTCTTCCATATTGTTCCAATATTAATATCTAAATATGAAGATTTTGCTGGTTACGGTGGAGTGCCGTGAGTTAAGTTAGTGATATTTTATCGTATTTATTTGTTGGGCCTAATTTGTGGCAGAGATAGTTGTTTATGTCATATCGGCGGCAGTAATCAGTGTTCAATCCCAGGTAAAGGCAAAAATTTCTAAGCTTTACTTTCAAGATACAGATCCATTTTTCCATACTCATTTTCACTTATTGACCATGTACTAATAAATAGCTATAAGAGAGGTTCCAAAAATGTATGCTTCAGTGTCTTTGAGTGCCGTTGTTAACTCTCATGGCCGTCTCAGGTTGTTCAAAAGCTTTAATATAGTCATATGTCGACTCATACCAGATCATCTAACGTCCAGTGGCAGATACCTCACCATAAAAATTTAAAACCCATTCACTTGGGATCACAGTAATTTTAGCCATTGCAGTTCTACGGTGGTGTAATGGATAGCGGCTTGGACTGAGGAATCGAAGAGCCGAGATCAAATTCCAGTCGAATCTATTACATTCACTTACGTGCTAATACCCTTGGGAAAGGTATGAATCCTTTTCTTCTCCCCCAGCTATGGGTAAATAGCAGGACAGGCCGGGTTCTATAACCTTGGATGGCAACTGGTCTACCACAGAAAGAAGTGGCAACCTACTGCGGGAAAAATCTGCCTCGTCAGTCATGTATCCATTAATACTAATGACGAAAGTTTCAACAGGTTATTGTTAGTTGGTCAAAGAGAACGCAGTGTATACGTCAAAAATTTAAACAAGAGTATTACACAAAAGAAAATAACAAAAATACAAATCAAGCATTTAGTAAAACTCTCTTTGGCAGCAATGTACAAATATATTAAAATGCAAATATTGGAATAGATTTTAATCTTCTTTTGATAGGAAGGAAATAGTTTTCGCTTGAAACACAGTCAAATTATGACAGAATACAAAATCATTAACAATACACAAATATCCTATTGTCATTATAACAAATGCATTATTGTTTTGCATTTTTTTTTTAGCTGAAAGTATTAACTAAATTTGGAGCTAAAGATGTATGTACAAATATTAAGTCGTAATTTAGTTGCTATCATAGCGCAATTGGCTTCTCGAAAGAGCGCCTCAGAAAAGTTGACTTTGATAAATTGCAGTGGATGAGGTGGCGTTCACTGATCGGTTTTGTACCTGTCACGCGGACATAGTAGTAAACATTATTTGCACTTTATTTTAAACAGCAGCGTAAAAAAGTTTTTTTCTTTTAAACATAGCGTGTAAATTAATTACACAGCCAACATGCTTAAAATATGACTGGAATTTGTTATTTCTTCTTAATATAACAATTTGAAATGTCTCGTAGGTGATCATGGCTCTCTACATTTTCCTGTCCTTTTGTTATTTCTCCTAAACCTTACTCCGCCACCCATTTACTCAAAATCTCGCTAGATAGGTTTTGCGTTGTTTTCCTCTATCCCTCTATCCCTGTGAGTATCAAATTTTCCAAGCCTTCTTTCCTCATTATGTGCCCTAGAAATTCCATCTGTCTCTGTCTAATGTTAAGTATAAGTGTTCTTTTTGTTTTCAATTTCTGTATAATTTCGTCGTTGCTCACATGTTCGGTCCATGCTATTCTCAGTATCCTTCTGTAGAACAACATTTATGTTGCTTCATGTTTCTTCTTCATCTGTGAGGAGATTTTCCAGCATTCACTGCCATATAGGAAGATTGATATTACATAACAGTTACAAGTATAAATTCGTCTCGTTGTAAAATCTTCAATAGCGTCGTTGCGCAATTCAAATTGACGAACGAGCTAATTGGATCTTGTAAATTTGAAATTGGCACGTATTTCCTACATTTATCAAATATACGATATTTAATGCCAATCGCCTTTTCCCCATTCTCTTCTTGCAATTATTCGAAACTTAGTTTCTGACTGCAATGCAAATCTCTCGTTTTTTTTGTCTGTTTTTTTATTTGTTTTTGTTTTTTTTTCACAAGAAAAAGCGCTATTAACTGAACGAGAGAAAATCAACAAAAATCGACTATAGAATATAAATTACGTAAATATTTCCGTTTTGTGGTGCAAAATGAAGCAAAAAAACCCCAAAAGAACTGCATATATTTCCTTACTGAGAATTAACATAAAATCGGACGACGAAAAAGTTGGCTTGTGATTTTCACCAATTGTGTATAGAAAAAAATTCTGATAGCCACGGTAATTGATCGAAAAAGGGAACCTAACGTTTATAAATGTCCAATTGTAGACACACTACGAATTGATCCACTAATAAAAAGGATTACGTCCGCATTGAATATTTTTTTCTTTCTTTTTTTAACCTATGAAGGAAAACTTAATGCACTCAGCTCATTTTAGAACCACCATTTGCATGAAAATATCAGATTTTATTATGCAAGCCAAGATTTTCACAATGAAACTGGTATTAACCCAGTAATGTTAGTAAAATTTTAGGCATATAGTTAGCTTTATATGAGTAATATATCGTTTATGTTTTGGCTTATAATATCTATTCTTATTAGAAATATTGATAATTCTCGGGGTGTGGAATAAATGAATGTGACAAGTTGGAATATATAAAGCAAGAAATCAACAGGTTAACTTTTAATATTTTAGGCGTATGTGAAACGAGGTGGACAAAAAATGGATATTTCGTCAGTGACAAACACAGGATTATATATGCAGGCGGAGAGAAAAATAAAAAAAAAAGGAGTAGAACTAATATTAGACCAAGACATGAACAAATGTGTTCTGGGATACTGTCACTTTCTGAAATAACTCTTATTAAATTGAAAAGAAAGCCATCAATATCCACCATAGTTATATATGCACCGACAGCACAAAGTACAGAAGAAATTGAAATGTTTTACTGTACGCTAGAAAACGCCAAGGCTCAATGCAAATCGAAATAAATTGCAATCGTCATGGAAGACCTGAATGCCAAAATAGCCAAGAAGAGAAATGGTGCAATAATTGGCAAATTCGAATTAGGAACTCATAATAAACACGGAGAAAAATGGGTCTAATGGTTGACAATAAATAGGTAATACACAACACATGGTTTCAAGAACACTCAAGACGTATATGAACATGGACAAGCTCATGAGGAGAAACGAAAAACCAAATCGACTATATAACTATCAATAAGCGATCCAGGAGTGCGGTTTTATACTACAAAACATATGCAAGTGTCGACTGCGGCGCGACCATGTTCTAAGGATATGTAAACCGGAATTGAAGAGGACCAAGGCAGCACTCAAATTTTAATAGGACAAACTCCTGAAGGATTCTAATTTGAAGGAGAAATATATGAACAGTGTTAAATGCAGATACTTATTTATGTGCTGTGTCCTCTCAGGATGTAGACGATCACGGCTCTCCACAAATTCCTGTCCTTTGGAGATCTTAATAAATTTTGTCATTTTTTATGTATCCTAAACTAAATTCAGTAACTATGTTACGGATTTTTCCTTTGTCGATCTTGCCTTCAATCTGTCCGGTGAGTAGCCGATTTTCCAAGCCCTGTTTCCTCGTTATGTGCCCTAGAAATTTCAACTGTTTTTTTTCTCGTGTTAAGTATAAGTTTACTTTTTGCTTTAATTTTCTCTAAAACACACGTGATCAATCCATGGTATCCTCAGCATCCTTTTGTAGAACCACATTCCTTTTGCTTCAAGTCTCCTTCATCTTTGAGGAGATTGTCCAGTACTCACTGCCAAACAGGAGAACAGATATCACGTAACAGTTCCTTTGTTTGTTTCTAACGAAGTCTTCCTGTTTCTCAATACTCTGCTTAGTATTTTGAATGTATATTTGGCTATGCCAGAGCGCCTTCGAATTTCAGTGTCGCACTTTACATTCTCTGTTAAAACACTTCCAAGATATTTTTTGAATTTGTTTGATTTTGGTATCACAGATTTGTCATTCCTTTTGCTAACAACCATGCATACTGTCTTACTGCAGGTGTTGTTTAATCCTTTCTTCTCGCTTTCCTTCACTACCTTCTGTAGGAACTTTTGTAGTTTTCTTTCCGTGTCTGTTATTAACGCTCTGCCATATGCATATCTTGTGTTATTAAGATTGTGGCCGCCAGTAATGAATACAAATAGGACATCCAATTCTCTCAAAATCGGAAATACAGATACAATGAACAAAATGAGAATGGAATCTCGAAGTGGGACACACTAAGAGAAGCTTTAGTTGAATCAGCAATCGAGATCATCCCAAAGAAAACTAGGCAAAGAAAAAAAAAGAATAGATAATGTACTTCTGGGCATGATGAAAAGAGACAAAAAACAAGGCCAAGGCACGGCACAGAATATAGAACTCTGCACAAAGAAATTAGGAACAAATTCAGACGAGCTAAAAAGGGCTCAACGAAAAATGTGCATAAATAAAAAGAATGAGTTTCACAGGTAAAGCAGAGATGCATAAAAATATAAGAATAAGACAAGATATACGCTCATCAATAGGATGCATAAAATCCAAGGACGAGACAGTGATATTAGAGAAAGGAAAATACTTCAAAGATGGAACAATACATCTTATAAGTCTTCCACAACAAAAGAGAACAATCGACAATACATAGAAACATTGAAGGACCACAAATATTTAAATCTGAAGTGAAATCAGCACAAGCCAAATTGAACAGAAACAAAGCAGCAAGACCGGACGGAATTGTAATAGAAATGCAGGTAACCTTAAATATCTGGGAAGAGCTTTAACAAAGAACCGAAAGTGTGACACTGAAAACGAAGACGCATTGTGATAGTGAAAGTGTCTTCCAAAAGCTAAGCAAAGTATTAAGAAACAAGAAAATTTCGTTAGAAAAAAAAAGCACTGAAATTATGCGTAATACCAGTCCTCCTGTATAGTGCGTAGCTTATATGTGGCACAAGACCGAAAGTGTGGGGCACGTAGTGAGGGTCGAACACACTTTTCAGTTGTAATTGATCGATCGAGACAAGCTTGCTAACCATTACACGACGTCGAAGTTCCCAAATTTACTATTTTCTAGGCTTAGCTTAGATGTGACAAGAGACAGAAAGTGTAGAGCACCCAGTGAGAGACGAACTCCAGTCCCTGTATATGGCAGTGAATGCTGGACGATCAACTCATAGATGAAAAAGAGATTTGAAGCAACCAAGTAATGGGGTTATATAGAAGAATGCTAAGAATACCAGGGACCTAATATGTGAGCAGCGATGGAGTTTTAGAGAAAATGAGAACAAAATGGACATACCTTTAGGCCTTCCTCTTCTTTCTTCTGTTACAACCTCTCTCTAGAGCTTTCATACATTTCCCTCTCATACTTGTTTCCCACTCCACACATACTCTCACTAAAATTTTGATTTTTATTTCCGATTTCTTTTTGAATTTGTAGGTCTGATGAATTGGATCGTGATTACGATTCCAATGTAATAAATTATAACCATGGAATATTAGTGTTTGAGCCTTTTATTATATATATATATATATATATATATATATATATATAATAAAAAATATTGTCGTTTTAAGGTATGCTATATTTAAGGATGAGAGTTCTCAATATCAGGAATAGAGCGTGTGTAAATATAAGAATGAACGCCTAAGCGATAAAGTACCTCAGAGAACAAAAACCGTTGGCTAAGATAAGTTTTCTTTTTGTCTTTATTTATATTGTCCTTTTACAAATGTACTCTATTTTTACACACACACGCGCATATATATTATTATTATTATTATTATACTATTATGATAAAATAAATGACTATATATACATACATATACATATGTGGGGAGGGGGCGCACGCGTGCGTGCGTGCGGGTGTGCGTGCGTGTAATAAATTTGGGTATGTAATCCCGACAGTCTTATAAAGTTATTGACATTTGAAATATTGACGTTTATGAAAATGTTTCGAAACAAATATAATACTGTCGACATGGGGAACGCATGAATAAAAACAATTCTTTAATTTATTTTCGATCCATTCTAAAGAATTTCCATCTCAAAACTCAGACACTTAAAAGCGGAGAATATAAAAAAATGTTAAACGATTTTTTTAATAAGTCACTCATTTTCTTTCTCTTTTCGTCTCGAGCAACGCCAGCTTGGGGAAAATAATATAAGACTTAATTATTTTAAACACACACAAATGCATACACAGCACAACACATTTTTCGCTATCCATCCGGTGAAGCCATTAGAGGCGAAATGCATTATCGGATATTATTTTTCGAAATATATTTTCATAAACGTTTTTTCAAATGTCAATATATATATATATATATATATATATATATATATATATAGAGAGAGAGAGAGAGAGAGAGTGTGTGTGTGTGTGTGTGTATGTGTGTGTCTGCGTGTCTGCGTGTACACACGTACGCCAATGCAAAAAATACCTGAAGATTTGATTTAATAGTTTTCTCTCCAAAACTATAAAACAACAGTTTCCATTGTACATTCCGCACGATGAAAATGGCTGCATGGAAAAATATCAAGTATCTCTCACTCGATTGAAGAAAATGCTAACACAAATTTGCAACAATGAAAAACTATCAATAATATTATTGTCATTTATATTATCATAAAAGCAAAGTAATAATTATAATAAATTATATAAATATGTGCGCTGTGATGTAATGGATATCGGCTCGAGTGCGGAGTTCGAATTCGAGTTGGATTTGTCACATTCACTTACACACAAATGCCCTTGAGAAAGGTATGAATCCATCTCTTCTCCTCCCAACTATGGGTTGAATAGCAGGACAGACTAGGTTCTGGGTTCTATAGACTTGGCTGGCTACTAGTCTACTGCAGAAAGAAACGGCAACCTACTCAGCCTAGACAGTTATGAATCGAAAGCGACATGATCGCCCAAGCGTGTATCAAGTATGGACTGAATAAAAAAAAAGTCAATAAATAATAACTAAAATATGAATCTATAGGCATCCTCTTTATTTGTAACCTAGAGAATGAATACAAGGTTGGAAGAAAAACATTTCATTTAATAGTGATATAAATTTAAAAAAAGAAAACGCTAGAAACCGTTTCAGGCCTATCGACGAGGAAAGTAAAATTGACATACCGAGTTCAAATTCCATCTGAGATCATTGCATTCGCTTTCGCACAAATACCCTTGGAAAGTGATGAATCCGTTACTTTTTCTCTCCTAGTTACGGATTAATACAAGGCAGGCTGAACTCTCCAGCCTAGTGTGGCAGTCAGTCTAGAAGGGTAACTCCGAATTCAAAATCAACCTGAAGAGGAATGGGCTCCGTCAAGCTATCTTGCCCTAGACACCCCACTGTTGCTATGACTGCAGCACATGTGATGTCCCTTCGACCCTAATGTGTTACGGGACAAGTGAGGTGACGTGTACTTGCATTACATGAAAAGTCATTGGATTTTATGCTTTTCATACTAACCGCCATTTTTACGTTTGCATAGCAAAAAGAAAAATCCCTATTTCAAACGAGTAGGAAAGACTCTTCCCAGTGTTCAATTCAAAATCCAATCTATCAATTTTTCAAAGAAAATAAGGGGCTTTTATACTTTTCACCCACAAATGCGGACACAGCCAAAAATCTCGTGGAAGCTATGTGGCGTAGATACAAATCAAAAATCAAAGCAATGCATTATCCGACAAATCATGACATGATGGATGGTTACTTTGCATCATTTTAATGCATGGGAATTATGTTATTTTTGAATGATATATGGTATTTTATAGGTGAGCTGTAAAAATATAGTAGTACCATTGATTGAATGTACACAAGCTTGGTATTAACCAAAAAAAAAGTCATATGTTTAAAGTTAGTCACAGGTGCAACTGCAAATCGAATGGAAGCGATGTGACAAAGATGCAGATCAAAATTTGAAGAAGGGCATGAATCTGCAAAACATATGTTGCAGAGTTTAAGTGGATTCAAAGGTTCAATTTTTTTTATCATTTTTGGCATCAAATTGCATGGATTGTTTCTTGAATTTGTTTTAAATTAAAAACACTTTTATCAATGTCAAATTTCTTGATTGAAAATATAAATTTCCAGGTGTTCAATTTAAATATCATAATGCCAATTTTAATCAGCGGCAAGTAAGTATCTGGTGTTTTGAGATAGGGGTACAAAGCAAATTAGCACCGAAAAGTAACTATGAATTCAAAAAACCAACCTGAAGAGGGATGGGCTCTGTCAGGTTATCTTGCCACACCAATGCCCCTAATGGGATGAATGACATGATGTATGCTTACATTACATGAGAGACATTGGATTTTATGTTTTTGATACCAGCTGCCATTTATAAGTTTGCATAACAAAAAGAAAAATCCCTATTTCAAACGAATAGGAAAGATTCTTCCCAGTGTTGACTTCAGTCTCCATTCTATCAATCTTCTAAGAAAATAAGGTGATTTTATACTTTTCACTCCCAAACACAGGTGCAGCCAAAAATCGCGTAGAATCTATGTGGCGAAGACGCAAACCAAAAACTAAAGCAATGTATTACCCAACAAATCGCGACATGATGAATGGTTACTTTGCAAAGTTTATGTCGAATCAAAGATTCGAAGACTCAATTTTTTGGCATCAATCACAATGGATATTTTAAAGGCAGTAAAGACACTAAAACACTCTATTGTGTGACGGTGGTATGACCGGCTATAACTAGCTTAGACACGCTATGGTCAGCTTAGACCAGCGGCTCGAGTGGAAACACTACGGTCCCCACGTTAAAAACCGACCTTGTGTCAGAACGTGACTTGGGGTGCAGAGGGGGTGGTCAAGGTAAATCTTGGACTCAGCGTACTTCCTGCTTTTCCCTCCTACTATGACAATGAACTGCTTCTACTTATGGCAAGTCACCACATTAGAGTAAATGATTTTGAAATTTTTCCGTTCTATGTATGAGTATTTAATAAATCTCTTCTTTGTTTTCTCTACCAAGTCTTCTGTTCCTTCGGTACTATAACTACGGCGTTCTTAATTCTCGGCTATTTTGAACAAGGACAAGATTACAGCAGATATCAATGAATAAAAATATATACTTTGAATAATTTAAATTGAATAGAAAAATTATCAACTAACCTGAGTCAGTCTCCTCTCGTTTTTACGCTGGGTAAATTCCTCTTCTCTCTCTCTCTTTCTCTCTCTTCTCTCTCTTCTTCTCTCTCTTTCACTCACTCTCTCTTTCTCTTTACTTGCTTTTTTTTTCAGAACTGTATGCTGGTTACGCTTTGCGATTATCTAAGATCGTTTCTAAATTATCGCCTTGGACTGGATTCAATTCGAAGCTGCTTTATAATTGCTGATGCAGGAGTCAAATTATTTGCAGTCAACAGGATCCGGCTCTACAGTTTGTCACGTCGTATTGTGCTCACTGCTTTTAAAGAGTATGATCATTTCCCGTTCGGCGTTATAGTTACACTCGAATCAATAATAATACGGAAAGCGTCACTAGTAATTCCAATCGACAATTGTGGATATTGATCTGTTGACAGGCTGTACCCAAAACAGTTTAGGGCTAATTTATAATTACCTAAATAAACAACACAGATTTTTTTTCTTTTCCGCTTGTATGCGTTCTTTTAGTACATACAGAAATTAATTCAATTTATTGTTTCGCCAAATAGAGTCATTAAGATTCCTTCAATTTCTTCCTAACTTTAGTGCTTCTGTTTAGGTTTCAGTTTTTACATAATAAAGACAGATATGAAATAACCTCCTGAACAAAATTTAATTTGACGTTGAAAATAATGTCAGCTCAGATAGTTCTTGATGCAGCAAGCAGGACAAACACAATGCACGAAGCTTTCTTTTGCGATTACATTTTTTATTATAGGAATATAAGAAAGAACACTTCTTTTTTTTTTTACCTCGAAGAAAATATTTAGAATGGATACAAATAAATAATTTACCATCGATAAACACACGCCAAACACACTTTTTCATATGAACAACTTTCATAAAACCCATACTTAAAGAATCTAAGATACCTGTGACTGATATAAACTAAAAATCTTTCAAACCCACACCAAACACGTCCCAGTGAATATATAGACACTAACAGACAGAAAAAAATGTCCATTAAACGCACACACATTATCACCCAAATCCCGTTAGATTAACAGGAAATATGATACACAAATACACACACACACCAACTATGGCGCGAGATAATGCTTTCTCCATCATTGCGGCTAGCAGAAGATAAAAAACATTTTGTTTATAGATAATGTAAATCTTGTTTCGTTTCCAAATGTATATTTTGTTCTTGTGAAATAAAATTCTGTTTTGATAAAGAAATAAATACAAATTAAATTATCACTCGGATGACATTGAATAATTAAAGGTGGTTATATCTTTCGTGAAAATTCTATTCCATCAATTTTTTTAATAAAAATAAGTTTAAAAAAGCACTGAAAATTTAATCGAGATCTGTCGATTCCCTGGTTATTTTTAATAGGTTTTGTTTTTAATAATTTTCATACTTGCGAGTCTCCGAAATTTTTATGGCAATTTAGCCTGAGAGGGAAAGCAATAAGCACTATCAATTCAAAATTTGTCAATTTTCTCCAGTAACAATTAACAAGTAACAATTTCTTTATTTTAATATGTTTTCTTAAATCCGGAATAATTTAAAAAGACGATATTGGTTGCTATTAAATGTTTTATGATATCAAACAGGTAAGAAAATAATAAAAAATAAAAGCAATGAACTGAGCCCTAAAGTATCATTTTACTAGATTTTAATTTCCTTTTCATACTTCTAATGTACAAGTGTTGTATAAATCAGATTCCCCCCCCCCACCAACGCCACCCCTTTGTGCTGGGATTAGTCTTGGGGTGACACTCTTGATTTATTCATATGTTGCATTCTTCTTTCTGTCATCTTCGGGCCGGGTAGTGAAATGTTTTGGGAGTACGGAGATGAAAGAACTTCAACAAAAGGGATTTTTAACTTATCTATTTATTAAACACGTCGACGTGGACATTTTTGATTAACCAGTGGCGTCGCTCTATCACTCCCACTGGGGAGCAAGTTCCCCGAGACACGAAATAACCACGTCTACTGTGTGTGACGTGTAAAAACTGAACTCACTAAAATCCCTTTCTGTCTTTAACATTCCCACGCTAGTTTTAGCAAATCAAAAATGACTATGTTTTCCTGTATCTGACCTCAAAGGTCAAATGAAGAAGTCAGAGGAGAAATACAATTCTCTAAAAAATAATTGTCTACTAGACTATTATTTAACACAGGGTGTCCCTACAGTCTGGTCACAGATAAATTGCTTATTTTCAAGAAATTAAATTTTCAACATTTTATTGAATTGGAATATTAACAAATAACATCTTCAATATAATTTCCATCCTTTGCGATGCAAAGGTTGATGCGCTTTGCAAGATTCGGTGAATAAGTCCACATTACCGTCAATTTTAGCACATTCACTCTTTATCAAATGTGTTGCATCTGTGATTTTCACTGAGCACGTCTTCTCTTTAGCACACCCAAGAGAAAGAAATCAATTCTTCTTTCGACAAAAACATGTTTAATCTGTGGAGGTAAAATAAAATATAGTTAATAAGATTTCCTATGTGTCCAGATTTTAGGGACAGTCTGAGTATGAAAAATAAAATTATTCATTCTACTAAGTTTCATAAAAGCATGTAGAATTTTTTTTAAATGAATTTTTAAACAATTAAGATAATTTATTTTTAAACATAAACAGTTACAAAGAAGCGTCTGGGTAGCAAAGTTCGAATTTCCAACCAGACGCTTCTTTGTGCCTGAATGGTTAACAGCACATCACATCAAACATAAACAGTACAATTTCTTGATTGTTGCAATGCTAGACGTCCGTATTAATTAGATTTTTTTTAATTTTCTATTTCCTTAATAACAGTTCACGGGCTTCTCTTCTTCTATATGCCGTGTCCCTTCATGACGTAGGCGCTCATGGCTCTCCACAATTTCCTGTCCTTTGTAGTTTTTAATAAAATTTTGTCTTTTTTGTTATCTCCCCTAAAACTGGTCCCGCCATCCATTTACTCAACTTAGGTCCTTCTTGCATTCATCCGTCCCGTGAGTATCAAATTTCCCAAGCCCCATTTTCTTATTATGAAAATTTCAACTGTCTCTTCTTGATGATAAGTAGATGTGGCTTGTTTGTTTCTATTTTCTTTAAAACCTCGTCGTTGCTGTACTAGCATGTGTAAATAAATTATTTTTGCGATGTTTTAAGCAAAAAGTAAACATTGCTTTTATAAAATCCTGTTAATCCTTAAATTTACTAATTTACGTTGGAACAAATCTCGAGAACAAACAGTAAATTTTGAAAAAATTTCTAAATTTATGGTTTTCATTTTTTGTCTATGATGGAGATACGATGAGTGAAGACTGATCCTACTAATGTTTTAAAAAAAGTCTAAAAACATTATTTAAATACATAAAATCATTTTTAAGTGTTGGCTTTAGGCTATTATCTTTCACATAAACCAAAAATGTAACATCAAAGAAGCTATTTACATGAATTAAAATGGGTTTTTCAAGCTTTTTTTTTTTTTTTTTTTTGTAATTCCATGGTGGTATGCATGTCTATGTTGCGTTTGTGCCATTTAATACACACACGAGCATAAGTACACACACATATATGCACACAATATGACTAAGTTAGAAATAAGACATTAAAAGAGTATATTCTCCTTGCATTCATTCTGAACAACACCTAGCCTGGGTTGAGCAATAAAATCATATAGATTGATTGAACTTTTCGGAAATTATTTGGCAATTTTTTTCTTTTAATTTTGAAGAAATAATTTTAGAGTTCTCATTGAATTAATATATACATGCGCATACGCAAACGTACACGCACACAACAATTTAAATGAAATTAAAATGCACAGATACATCTCTGTCGCGAAGGATAATTTCTCTGTCTGCCAACAATCCTTGAGTAACAGAAAAATAGTATAAGCCGAAATGAGTGGTCCTTTGAATACTTTTGTATTTAAAATGAACATATTTTTTAGTTTGGTTTCGTTTGTTTTGTTTTACGGCATATCCTCAATGGGTTATTTAATGCCGACAAAATTTTTATTGCTAGTAATATTTTTTTTCAAAAATGTAGTGCTGGCAAAAAAAAAAAAAAAACTTTTTACAAAAAAGTATTTGTTATTAAAACTTATTTTTACACTTTCATAGTGTTTTGACCCCAGTTTGGGGTTAACCATTTGCCCATAGCTGGGACACTGAGAGGTGCTACCACCCCGGGTCAGGGTGGAACTGGGAACAAAAAAATAAATTTTAAAGCTCCTAGGTTCCTCAAAACCTCCCGATCAGAGGTCCTGCTGTCGGACGTAGTTTATCGTCATACCTGGGACGCTTCATTTTTTAATGAGTGTATTATTTTACATGGCAAACAATTTAGATTTGAAATTTGATCATCTTGCCGTCAGAATAGTGATTGGTACCGAACTTGTTTCCACATAATTTGTGATATTATTTTCCAGACTCGTTAAAAAATAAAATTAAAAATTAAAACCGAAAATGTTCTCACGTGCGTCTTTGGCGCCAGCTCGAGAATAGCAATAAATGTCTCTTTTCAAAAGATAAAGTTACAAATTCTAGTTAAAAACGTTAACAAATCCATGTAACCGAAAAATTTTTTTTTTTTTTACTCGCTTATCTTATTTTTGACTAGTGGAGACATGTTGTTAATTGCACTTAACACAATAAATCTTTACTATTTTACTCAATTTTTTTTTCATTTCACACCAAACAAGGAGTTACTGAATGTGAAAGAATATGAGAAACAAATGCATTATTAAGAACAATAAAAGAACAGGAATTAAGAAGACAGAAAATAACAGCTGGCATTGCATTTACATTTTTAAAGATCAAAGACGACTGGAAAGCAAGAAACCGGAAGAGAGTTCCACAGGCGAGAAGTGCGAGAGAAGAAAGCGTTAACAATTACATCTAGCAATTTCAACCATAAAATTATGAGACCTAGCCGCCACTCTAGTAGTGTGCTTGAATTCGTAAAGTCGAGGCACCAAATAAGAACGATTATCAGAACAATAACGATGAAAATATTTATAGAAAAGATACAGAGAAGCTACGTTACGAGATGCTAGGTTAGGAACGATAATATTGCAGATTCTTCTTTGTATTTTATCAAGAATCTTTAAGTATATAACAGAAGCACCAAACCAGATGTGACAGCAATATTCAATGCATGGACGAATGGTAGACTTATAGCTGTATAAGATAGATTCTGACGAGAAAAAATTCACCACGAATAATTCAAATATTTTGAAAATCTCCTAGAAATTGATTTAAAATAATTTTATCAGCGGAAAATGTCAGTTCGAAAAGATGCAACGAGTCACTCACCTGGAGG